ACACTTATCACATGCTGTGTGGTATCGGGGCATTTTAACGAGTACGAGTACAGAAGCTCAGTATCGGGCCCGATACAGATACCAGTATCGGTGCATCCCTAATAATAATTTATATTAATGATGCATGGAAGCTCATATATGTGTGTGTATATATACACACACACACACACATATATATATAGCCATTTTACCTCTAATTTAGCTTAGTTTAAAGTATTATGCATCAAACTAAATTGTGACATTGTATTGTTACAACCCTATGTTTCAGAAAAGAAAATGTAGTTCTAGAAAAATTGCATGTTATTTTCACAAGGGATTATTAACTGCATGAGTGCTCACGCTTCTGTGCTCAATTACAAATGAACGTTAGCTGGTTAGTCAAATCATTTCAAAAGTGTCAGTGTCCCTTCGCCACGGATGTCATCTCATAACGCTGATGAAGGGAGGGAAGTGAGTACAGACCTGGAGCCGGCACTTGACCAAGTCGAGGGGCACGACGGCCGTGTGTGTAATACCACAGCTCAAGATGCCCCCGAACCCGCAGAGGGCGTAGTATTTCCCCGAGCCGAACTCGCAGCTATCGGCCGACTCTGTGACGTGAGGGAACACAGGAACACATGCTCATGCATCACAACACCACACTTAACATGCTGATGAGGGGTTGCACCGGGGTTGGCTCACACGGACACACTCGGGTGACTCCGGCTAACACACACACGGATCTGCATTCGGCACTTGACCAGGTCGAGAGGCACCACAGCTGTGTGTGTGGTGCCACAGCTGAGGATTCCTCCGAAGCCACAGAGGATGAGGTATTTCTGTGAGCCGAACTCACAGCTGTCTCCCTCTGAGGAGAAACACGGAATCATGTTCATCCACAAAGTCTGAGACATTTGTTCAGGGTTTAGTGGAAAACCGCCATGTTGGGTTTTCAAGCATGACCTTTCACCTGCTATCAGATCAAGTGGCATGTTTTTCAGGGGTTTTCAATCTTTTAGAAGCCACTGACCATCAAATATGTGACCCTGGAGCACAAAACCAGTCTTAAGTCGCTGGGGTATATTTGCAGAAACAGCCAAAAAAAAAAACATTATATGGGTCAAAATTATAGATTTTCTTTTATGCCAAAAATCATTAGGGATATTAAGTAAAGATAATGTTCTATGAAGATATTTAGTAAATTTCCTACCGTAAATACATCAAAACTTAATTTTGGATTAGTAATATGCATTGCTAAGAACTTAATTTGGACAACTTTAAAGATGATTTTCTCAATGTTTAGATTTTTTTGCACCCTCAGATTCCAGATTTTCAAATAGTTGTATCTCAGCCAAATATTGTCCTATCCTAACAAACCATACATCAATGGAAAGCTTATTTATTAAATTTTAAAAAATTGACCCTTATGACTGGTTTTGTGGTCCAAGGTCACATATGATCTTCTTTGAGTGAGGGACCACCATTATAACATTTAGAAGGCAGATACTGTTTATTTTAATCTAAAAAGAAAATTATAAATGTATAAATTGCGTAGAAATATTAATATTATTGAAATAAATTAATATTACAAATATACATTTTAACATAATAGAAATTATATTAAATTCAATAATACACAGATTCATATAAACAATCTAACAATGAAAATCCAGTTCAGTCAATATTTAATCAGCAATTATTATTATTATTATTATTAATATGTTTTGGAAAGTTCACCTATCTGCAGCTATAAGTAAATTATCAGCATTTTTCTTACATTGTTACTCATTTTCAAATCCTTTATAAATTTAAAACTCATTCATTCTGAAACATTTATTATAAATGTGTTAAATATCAACAAACTGAAAATTCAGTTCAGTCTAAATATTATATGTACACTATGATAAATATCAATATTTACACTGAACTGAATTTTATTGTCAGCAATTATTCTCAGATGACGATTGCGGATTCATTTTGGGAGAATTATGTTAAGCATTTTTAAATATTTTATTCATACAAACGTGGAAAATAGTTATTACATCACTTTTTTTTTCTACTCACTATAGCACTGAACTGTTAGATGCATTTAAAACATTTTTATCACTTAAATCGATTTTTATTATTTTAAATGTTTATGTATTCATTAATTAGTTAAATATATATTCAAATATCAACTTTATTATTTAAAAAAGTTTTAACTGACACTTCTTTTACACAGACCACGCTAATCTACAAACTCTAACGCACCTGGCACTCAACTCGATCTTCTTATTCATTCTGGTAAACTGATAAAACAATTAAGCACACTAATAAAAGCGTTTCTACTAGGGCTGTCACAATTCAATGAGTTCTCGATTTAAAAAAATCCTTGACTGCCTTTTGCTCGTGTCGAGTAACCGGCAAAACACCGGAAGTGGCGCATTCAATGGACGCAAATCCATGAAACGCATTTAGACCGTTTTCCACAGCTGCATGATATATTAAACCCATTTTAAAATCATATTAAAGCATAATGCTATTGTGAATTCACAAACGCTACGATTAAGTTAAATAAATATATGCAATGCGGGTTTAATATATGTGCTTTAATTATTTACATGCGTGTGGGTTACGTTCGTGAGTCTCAGAGCGGCTCCGTTCACAGTAAACGCTGCTCCGCACAAACTACTACCATTTACATGTGTGGAGCCGCTCAAACTCCATCTCTGCATATTGTTGTGAGCAAACACAGGAGAATACATCAATATATTTCTCAATATGCTAACCAGTGATGTAACGGTATGAAAATTTCTTATCACGATTATAGTGACCAAAATTATCACGGTTAATAGTAATATCACGGTATTGTTAAAATGTGCTGGAGATGTTCGAAAAAGTACCGACGCATAAATCACTTCAAGTTTTATATTTAAAAATCAACAAACAACAAATAAAATGGCTTTTTGTTTGCATAATCACTAAAACAATAACATTACCAATAGGGCTGGGCAAACATTTTTTATTTTTCGATTAATCGTTTTTTTAAATGATGTCGATTTGATATCGATTCTCAAAAGCCGCGAATCGATCTTTTCCGGGATTTATTTCAGCACACATTTAAAACAAGATCTGATTAACGTGAATCTTATCATTAGTCTTCTCCACTAGATGTCACCCTTATTTACCTTGCGTGATGTTACAACAGAAAGCCTGTCATTCATTCAGCGCTTATCATGGCCATACGCGTGATTCGCAATGCTCAGGTGAAGTGCTATAGTAATACTATAAATCTGCGGAAGAATTTGATATCACGCATCGAATGTCACGAACACGAATGTCATCTCCAGCTGCTCGGAGTCTCACTTCATTAGCATGTTACCGTTTCATTTGAGAAAACTACCGTCATATCACACACACAGCAGCTGCAAGTTCTTCATTATGCACCAAGAGCTTGTAAAGGAACACAAAGGTAAAAAACTCCAAAAAGGTAAAGGAAAAAATTAAATTGCATCATATGACCCCTTTAAGAGCATGTTGAAATATCTAATGTAAATGTTCAAATGTTCATAAAAAGGTAAACCTCACATTTCAGCCTTTAAATAATAATATTAAATAAATCCACTCGCTGACACTAGGTGGCGCTTATGGAAAAGCTGAATTAGAGCCGTTTCCCGTAATCTCCATAGACAAAGCAGTATTGCGATTAAGAACACTTCCTTTAGGTATTACATGGAGCGAAGATGAAAACAATGCCATCGAATCGTTTCTGAAGACAGTCAGAACCTTCAGAGTTACATTCATATAATTAATTAATTAATATATTCATTTGTATAATTCCCTTAGCACTATTTTAAAACCTCCCAGCTTTTCCGCCCTGTTTTCACTCAAAACGAAATGACTCTGCGTGCTGTGCTGCTGAATAGTTCAAATCGCGGTAATCTAATACGGTTTTAATGATAATTAAAATATGAAACTGTCATACTAACCGTCGGGAATTTTATCATGATTTATCGTTACATCCCTAATGCTAACTGTTCATCACGACTTTAAACCTGTGCTCTGAGTTTACACACTTTGATGTCCACATATTCAAGAAATTACAGCAGCTGTAGCATTTCTGTCAAAGAAATGGCCCAATATTAATTGGACATTTGAATTAAATGTTGTTTAGTCAATATTAAACAAGGATTAGATCACACAGTAAAGTGTAAAAACAATCATCAGGCCCTTGTCCGTAATGTACATTAGCTCTATTGTTTATAATACATTATGTATTTTACCAGTTTTGTTCAATAAAACCATATGATTACTTGCTTTTGATACTATATTTGAACTAATTATTATGGCTTCATTGCTATTATATATGTATTTTATGTAATTATAAAGGCTATTGTTCACTTAGGTCTATTTTATTACCACAAAAAATTAATTATAATTATCAGAATAATCGACCGATCACTCGATTACCAAAATAATAGTTAGTGACAGTCCAAGTTTCTACTAAAACTACATCTAAACACAATTATTACTTAACCACCTAAGGGAGAAGCACTGATAACACGGTTAAAACATGCAAAATGTATTAAAGGGGTCATATGATGCGATTTCAAGCTGTTCGTGAATAGATAAGATCCCTGAAGTTGCAAAGACTAAAGTCTCAAATCCAAAGAGATATTCTTTATCAAAGTTAAGACTCTGCCACGCCCCCCTAAAACGGCTCGTTCTAACACGCCAGACTGCGCTTGTCGGAAGGAGGGACTTTGTAGAAAACGAAGCGTTTGAGAGAGGCGGGGCATAGAGGACCTACTATAATGTACAGTATTTGAAAAATAATGTGTTTTTTGAACATTAAAGCATGTCAACATATTCTGTTACACCAAATACACAAAATAATGATCTTTAAAAAAAGCATCATATGACCCCTTTAAAAAAATTTTTTTTACAATTGGATGTTGGGCAAGATAGACGACACCAGACCTAAGGGCCAATCAGAACGCGCCTTCTTGAGCGCTGGACGCGCTCCTGCGCCAGAGAGCCAATCAGATCGCGCCTCATTGAGAACTGCAATACACACGCAGGTCATGTGCAGAATAGGACGCTTTAAATAAAGAACATCGCGTCCCCTGACAGCCTCATTAACATTCTGACACATCTCACGTATTTACACGAGTCTGGTGCATTAAAATGTTAAAAAGCCTCCTGGAACATTTATAACGCGTCCTGCGATTTTGTTCTTCACTGCCCTCCATGAACACAACAAGGCCAGAAACTCATTCGAGCCGCACTAAACGACTATTTAACGCAAACTACGCAAATCTATAAATGTGACCAATGCAGGAACTGAAAGGACTACAGCATTTTCTAATCATATAGCCTACAGCTCAAGAGGATCTAACGTTAGTTAGCATAGTGCTAACGCTAACTAGCATTCTAACCTTTTATTCAACGTTCATATGGTGTAAGTTCCCATCCTGAGCGCCGGAACATCCCTTTCAAGCATTAATACAACAATAAACGGGAAAATGCGATGGTTAAGGGTGTCTTTTTTTATTTTACCCCCGTAAAACTGCACGTAAAGCATGAAAATGAGGTGTTTTTTGCTCTCCGGGTGTCTTACCGGCGGTTGCGGCGGCGGCGAGCCTGCGCTTCTGTACGGGAGAGTGAGTCTCCGGTTCACCGGCTTTCTGCAGCGTGAACAACGGGGCGCTGAAGGGGTTCGCCCGGGCCAGCTGGGTCAGTGTGGTCGGATACATGTCTGATGGTCGAAATAAACAGCGGTTAGGCACTGAACACATTTGTAAACTGCGTGTTTTACATACATGTCAAATGAAAGAGTAATTTGTCCTCTCTCTCGCTCTCTCTCTATGGAGAGGTCAGCGGCCCGGCGCTCTCGAGTCAGACGAAACTCTTACTTTAGTGAAGTTGTCGCAACTTGGCGCCTCCGTCCTCTCCTCTACCGGTTGCGCATATAGACCGAGCGGTGTGCGCGAGCGCCGCAAGCCTGGACCGGATAAAGGAAGCGGGCGCGTCACTGCAGGCCCCGCCCACCTCATTATAAATCCTACAATGGCGAAGTTTTGGTTCATGAATATTATATATTGACGATTTGTTTTTACTTTTTCAATGCATTGGAGGTACATAGTGATATTAATAAACAATGAGCTATGATTAAATAAAATAATTTTACATGAATTCACTTATTTGTATAGGGAATGTATAGGATTTAGCCCATCTAGGGGTATTTTTTATTTTAATTAATTATTTTGTTGCTTTATTTTATTTATTGGAAATGTATAGGGTTTATCCTAAGGGTATAAATATATGTTTAATGTGGGCATGACCTGTGTAATAATCTTTTAGTTGTTAGTTTGTTGGGGTGTATTTATTATTATTTTTATAGAGAATATTTAGCCCTTCTAAAAGGGAAACATGCCCTCTTTATTTTATCATGTAATATGTTATTATATATGTCAAGGTGTTACAATTTTTGTTTGTTAGTTTGTTGGGGTGTTGTATTGATTGATTAGGATTTCTTTTTACTTTATTTTATTATTTTGTTTTGATTTATTTATCCAGAGGGTATAAAATATGTCTAAAAAGGGAAATACGACCTCTGTAATAATATTTTCTGTTGTTAGTTTGTTGAGATGTTTGTATTTCTTTATTTAATTGTATATTTTTATTAACCCAGTTACTTTTGTTTTCAAAGTTATTTTTTTAATATTTGCTAATGACATGAATTTATTTATATAAAAGGGAAACATGCCCTCTTTATTTTATCATGTAATATGTTATTATATATGTCAAGGTGTTACAATTTTTGTTTGTTAGTTTGTTGGGGTGTTGTATTGATTGATTAGGATTTATTTTTACTTTATTTTATTATTTTGTTTTGATTTATTTATCCAGAGGGTATAAAATATGTCTAAAAAGGGAAATACGACCTCTGTAATAATATTTTTTGTTGTTAGTTTGTTGAGATGTTTGTATTTCTTTATTTAATTGTATATTTTTATTAACCCAGTTACTTTTGTTTTCAAAGTTATTTTTTTTATATTTGCTAATGACATGAATTTATTTATAAAATGCGAGAAATTTTGCTTACATATTTCCATTTTTATAAGAATATGTTTATCATGTATATTATTATGATATTTATTATATATTTCTAAAATGTAAATAACACATCAAATACAGTAGTCCTGCCAACACATCCAAATGTTCATGCTATATAATTTTCGATAAGAAAAGTTTAGATAAGAAAACGTTTTTAAAAAGAAAAAGTGTTTTATATAATTATTGATTTTAATAAAGAAGCAACACATACATAAAATGAAATGGTCTGCCTCTAAACCAAATAAATTATTTTAAACAAAAAGGCAGGGTGAGCCTATAATACTTGTAATATGATACTAATATATAATTTTTTACTCATTTTCTTTTCAATTATACTTACTAATATCACTTTTTTAGTTAAAATTCATATGATAAAAGACCAAAAATTACAGATCAGTTAAGACGTTGCGTCTGGGTAACGTCGTATTACGTAATTAATATTAATGAGCCATGCCTTCGCCATAGTAGAACTCGCTCGACCAGTCAGGACAAAAATGAGGGGCGGGGCCGCGGGCAGTGGGCGGGGCTTTCCCGAAGTGCATTACGCAAGAGATTCCATGCAACTCGGTCACCGTCTGCTGTGTTTGTACTGTGATTGCAGCATATTTATGCGCGTTGATATTGTACAGCAGCTAGTTATTGCTAAATACATTGTGTATAGGCTATATGCATATCTGAACAGGACTGATTATATTGTTTGCATGTTCTAATGTGCAACGGTGTGTCTGAAGGTTAAACTCTCAGAGTAAAAATTACAGCAAACATTCCTGGTACAATAAAATTGCTGGAATGTGTGTGTGTGTCAGCCTTGCTGTAAATAAACTGCAAGCAAGGGTCACCTCTTGGATTTCAATGGTCTTCTTTTATTTCACACAAGAATTGTGTTGAATCAAGGATAAATAACCAATTCTGTACAACCAGTTTTCCACAATTAGCTGCCTAAATACAAAGTGCAAATTGGACTTTTGTACCATTTACTGCCTTCGACACAGCAGGACAAAGCTAAGATGTTAGTTAGTGGTTAGTGGATTTGGTATATCTACATTTTAAGTAACCCACTGCGTTTAAAAAATGTTTTTAATTTTATAGAAGACATTAGAAAAATATTGCAGTTGATAAGTAATTAAACAGAGTAGCAAAATATAAAAAAGTAACCCCTGCAAATGAATCTGTCCGTCACAAATGTATTTCTCTGAATGAAATGAAGATATAGTGAGTAAATATATCCAGACCAGTTTTGTTTTTAAAACAATCACAGCACAGAAATGAATTCATAGTTTAGTCAGATGAATGCCAGTGTTTGAGCAATAACAGACGGTCTGATTACAGTCAATAACAGGCAAGTGTCGGTGGACTCCATTCTAATTATGTGTTTTAAAATCAGCTATAATGCCACATCACATTATGAAAACATCACAAACACATTTAACAAGCCACCATTATCTATTAAACAAAAACAAAAAACAGACTGCCTCTCACCAGAAGTGGAGCATTACTTACTACATGAGACTTTCAAAGATCACATTTTCTTTTAAGCTCTAAATAAAAAAAATAAAATAAATATCAATATGTCTAGTACTAAAACCAAACATTATCTGAGCTGCTAGTTCAGTAGTTTGAACATCTCACTGCTACTAATCATTAAAAACAAACGCAACTGGGTGAATCTCACAAAAACCGTCAAGAATATGTCAAAGCCATATTTCACCACAAAACATTTTCAGTTAAGCACATTCCACCAAATTCTCATTACTGTAATTCAAAACATAATGTTAGATTATTTAAATGTAAATTAAGTGTACACTGTGGCTGAATCGAATTGTTTTTATGCCAATTTTAAGTAATTAATACAATTTTGCACAGACATTTTTTTTTTTGGATTTTTTAGATCAGATTGCTATGATTTTTTTGCATAACTGTAATTTTTCCCCATTACAGTAATGCAAATGTACTTTTTTTTATACTAAGGTAATAACAATTAGGGTTTTTTTTTGCATTATGGTAAAACAACTTTATTTGCATTATGGTAATTACAATGCATTTTTGCATTATGGTAATAAAAAAAAAAAAAAATTGCATTATACCAACACAAAGCAAAAAGTCTTAAAACATAATATACATATATATTTTTTTTCTCTCTGGATTTTATAGTGAAACATGACCCACACATTTTTTTTTTGAGATTCACCCTATTGTGCTACAACAATTTTGTCACTCTGGTCTCATTAGCAACACTTCATTAAGTCAGATTCAGAAGTGCTAAAAAAAACTCACCATGATTATTCAGGAAAACATTTCAGATATCAAATAAACCATTTCCCCAAACATTCATCTTCAGGCTTTTCCTTCCAGCCCCAATGTGTGTGAAACCAAATAGTGCTTGTGTTGGCCATATCTTGGCACTTCACCTCTCGTTGTGATGCCACTGAGCGGCGAATGATTCACTATTAGCGAACACTACACTTCTCTACATCGTCTCGAATGCTACGAAACCGTAAAATCACAAAGCAAGATCAAAACACACAATGCACACAGAGTTTAAAGACTACTTGAAACACGAGTCTATTCAGATGTGACCGCTCAGGTCAAACTGCAGAATCCCAGAATCCCTCCCTCCCCGAACCCTGCCGACGCGTCGCTCCGTAAAGCACTAGAAAATCAGTCTGACAGTAGCTGCATGCTGAAGCTGGTTGACGGACCGGGCCGCTCATTTGCCATCGTCGCCCTCGACTGGGCTTTCCCAGCTAATGTAATTGACGATGGGCGTGATGACATTGTCCTGGGCATAGAGCTGGCAGGCATTGATCTGATCGGCAGTGACGCTCTGGAAGGCGTAATACAGAGACGCAGCCAGTGTGATGAACACCAGAAGCTTCAACCAGAAAGCAAACCAGCGGCGGGGTTTGGGACGGGCGGCCGACGCTCCGCTGCGAACATCTGTGACGGAGGATTTGGTCACTGTGTAAGTGTTCTGCTGCAGGAGGGGCTCCTCGGACCAGAGGTTCAGCGGCTTCACGGGACGGCCCGCAGCACCATGGATCGGCCTCCGACATGTGGCACTGTTCAGATATACAGCGTTAGTATGGCGTTTAATCAAAGAAGTGATAAGACAGGCTGGCAGAATGAAGATTTTTTAAATTATATGGTTTTATTGCACTTATCAAAACAAGAAAAGCAGTCAAATGTTTCGTATTTTTTCTCAATTGTTTTAATGACAAAAAGAATAATTGAAAATATATAATTTAACTTACAATCTGCAAAGGAGTGGGAAAAATTATTTAAATATTCCATTTAACCTCCCGATACCCGGCAAATTTTTTTAGGATTTTTCTTTTTCTTTTTTCATGTCATTACATTGTTTAGAGCATTAAAAAAAATGTTAAAAAAAATTTAAAATGATATTTCATTCATAAGTTATGCTTCGTCCATGGTAGAGGACATCTGGACTCAATAAAAAAAAAAATGAATAAAAAGACATGAATGAACATGCATAGGCAAAAACAATTGATTGATTGTTTTCAGGATTTTTTTTTTTTTTTTTTACTAAACTTTGTATAAAGATGATTGTCAACTATGTTATAAGAATGATTTGATATACCATTTTTCTTTATGCAAAATGTGTAAAATGGCCATAAACAGGTTTTCTCATTATATACAATGTATCTATAAACTAAATCTAATTTGCATATTAATGTGTTTTTGGGGATGTTGGGATTAATGTGTTTTCCTGAGATGTTGATTTATGACACACGGTTTAAAAATTAGTCAGATTTAAATGATAATTATTACA